AGAGACTCGCTTGAGCCCAGGAGTTGGAGGTTGCTGTGAGCTGTAATGCCATCGCACTCTACCCAGGGGGACAGCTTGAGGCTCTGTCTCAAAAAGAAAAAAAAAGAAATCAACAGAAAAGGGAAAAATCTTGTTGAACCAGAGTCTGCCCCACTGGGAAGCAAACCCCTCCCTCTCTAGGAGGTCTTTTTACTTTGAGGCTGCTTGTGTGAATTGCCTGCATATGACTGTGTTTGAACTTTGTGAACTTGGACTTGGTACCACCACAACCACAAATGAGAAGTTTTTCCTTCTTTTTTTTTTCCCTTGCTTTGTTGCCCAGGCTAGAGTACTGTGGCATCATAGCCCACAGCAACCTCAAGCTCCTGAGTTCAAGTGATCCTTTCTCCTCGGCCTCCCAAGTTGGACCTACAGGCACCCACCACAAAGGGACAGGGTCTCACTTTGCTCAGTTTGGTCTCAAACTACTGACCTCAAGCAATCCTCCCCCTTCAGCCTCCCCAATTGCTAGGATGACAGGTGTGAGCCACTGCAGCCAGCCAAGGCTGGAGAAGTTTACCTGTAGCCATGAAAGTGTCTCAACATCACACTGTACATCCTCTTCTGGGCTCCCCCAAGGAACTTTTGTGTTCTTTCTTTTGCCTTCTCCCCTCATTCTTCCTACTCAGATCTTCTTCTCCCCACTCCCAATCAAGCTTGGATTCCAGCTTCTGCAAAGCAGGGCAAGTCCCATCTGTACAGTTCCCACCACCAAACTTCACCCCAGGTCCACAATGCTCAGAAGAATTAAGTATCTCTCTCTAATCATTACGATCATCCTTCTAGGTGGGGCTGATAACTTTATAAAAATACAAGTTTCCCCCTACTCCTAGTTGGAAAGGAAATTGACAGAAGCCCAGATGGTTTCCTGGTAGTGTGGAATTCTCCCTCATGGACTGGTAGAAGATGCCTGGCTTTTGTCCACATGCCGGTCTGGTTCCCATTAACAACTGGGGACAAACTTCCAGAAAAGTTTGGCCACTGGGCTCCAGAAATCACTGTGGGGTCACTGAGGCTGGATGGCAACCTATGAAGTAGCCTACTCACTATGTGACTCCATCCATGACAGGGTGCCCACGTCAACTAAGGCTGTCAGTGTGGCTCTGTAGAGATTGGTCCCAGGAAGGAAGAACACCGCAGAGACACAAAAAATGCCAGGAGACAGCCAGGAGCTGATCCATAGCACCCTTGGCCACCACTGCTGACACCTCTCCCTCCAGCTAAGATGCAGATTCCTGGCCCCATCCCTAGAATGAGGAATCAGGGTGAAGATCTGCATTTTTTCAGCTTTCCCAGTGGTTCTAATGTGGCATAGTCTAGAAGCATGGTTGCAGAAGCTATGATTTAGATTCTGAATCTGTGGGGAGTAGGGGATGACTGGGAAGCCCAGGTTCCACCAATCCCCTACCCAAGAACTAGGACCATCAGAGAGTGGGGAGCAATGGTGAGCCTGAGAGAGTATTAAGTCCACCGTCTTCCCATCAGCATTTAGCTGATGGCAGCCAAGCTATTCTAGGGGAAGCTGTCAAAACTCAGGGGTGTAGGCAGGAAGAGATTTTTATTTATTTATTTATTTGGAGACAAGAGTCTCACTTTGTCACCTTCAGGGGTCACAGCTCACAGCAACCTCCAACTCCTGGGCTTGGGTGATTCTCTTGCCTCAGCCTCCCAAGTCGCTGGGACTGCAGGCGCCCGCCACAACACCCCGCTATTTTTTTGTTGCAGTTGTCATTGTTGCCTGCGCCAGGTTTGAACCCACCCTTCTTGGTGTATGTGGCTGGTGACATAACCACTGTGCTACAGGTGCTGAGCCATGGAAGAGATTTTTTTTTTGCAGTTTTTTTTTGGTGGGGCCGGGCTTGAACCTGCCGCACCTGGTATATGGGGCCGGTGCCCTACTCCTTGAGCCACAGGCGCCGCCCTATGGAAGAGATTTTTTAAGGAAGAGAGTGGCATCCAGACATCGTGGCCTAGGATGGGGGTGACTGGAAATGAGGCCAACGTCTCCCAGGGTGTCCCGGCACACACGCTAGCTTGCCCGCTGATGTCATCCAGTACATGAGGCATGGGTCCTCAGGGGTGGTCTCTGGGCTGGGGCTGGGTCCCCACCAATGTGGCAGTGACTAGTGGAATGCCGTGGCAGCAGGACAGTATAAGGAGAGGCAGGGAAACTTGGAGCAGCGTGTGGAAGATGAGCTGGGGTTTAGTTTCCCCACAGGCCTGTCTTGTAAGGATTCACAGGGACCTCAAACGCTGTCGCCAGGCGGGGTGGGGACAGGATAGAGTGCGAGAAAGGCTGAACCTTCCGGGAAAAGGAAGGGCCTGCGGGGACAGCGCGCAGCCGGCGGCCGGGTTTTTCCAATCCAGTGTGTCTAGGCCAAGGTCCAACCCTCTGTCCTTCAACTCCCGGCTCAGTCGGGCCCCTAATCCAAGGTCCACAATCCCCCACCTGCGCCCCGCCCTGTCCCCGCAGGGCTCCGGAGAGTCCGCAGCGCCTCCTGGCGGCCCTCGGGTCCGGAGCGAGGCGGGCGCCCCCTGGCGGCGGCCTCTGGAGGCGACGCCTGAGACCGCGCTCTTGGGTGGGGAAGTCCGTCTTGTGCCGGTCGCACGAGAGCCCCCGGGCCCTGGGAACAGGTGAGAGGGCTCCAGCGGTTGGGGCTCAGGCCCCTTTCCGAAAAGGAGGCTCAGTACGTCCCTTTCATGGGGAGGCGACGCCCACTGACAGCAAGGGCAAGAGCAGCAGCAGGAGGGGCATGGGCCACTGCCCAGAAGCCTGATTGATCTCGCACTGACAATTGCAGGGCCCTGACTCCGGGGTCGCTTTAGGGGGTCGGGGGAAGCGAGGGCCAGAGCTGGGGACGGGACAGTCCAGCCACTTAGGCCCCATGGGCTGGGGGGAGTCCGATTCGGTCTTGATGCTGTCTTTGGGAAAGCGCCAGTAGTGGACGCCCTTGAAGAAGTAGGTGTCACCTGCAGAGCAGGAGACACTTCAGAGTCTTGGTCCTGGCCTACCTCAAACCCTCCCTTTTCTGCTGCCCCCACTACCCCCACCCCAGGATGGTCTCTATCGCTCCATCCCCCCAGGCTAGCAACTTGCAGGTCCCAGGGGCCTCTGGGCTCTACCTACCTGTGTTGCTGACAGTGACATCGTCAGGGGCGGAAGGCGCCCCTTCCCAGAGACTCAGGTCGCGTGGGTAGCCAGGGTCAGGGCGCGCAGCAGCTTCATCGTACCGCCAGTACTGCTGTCCCCGGATCAGGTAGGTTTTCCCGTTCAGCGGCCATGAGAACACTGCATCCACCTCCTCTCCCGGGGGCAGCCCCAGCTCTGTGAGCGGCCGCTCACCCCCCTCCAGCTGCCGGTCCTGGAACACCCAGAACCAGGGGCCTGGAGGCAGAAGGCTCTGTGATCAGGTTGGGCTTCCCAAGACCTGCCCGCCCGCCCAGCCCTCCTGTCTCCACTCACCGCTAAAGAGCAAGATCCGACCATCTCGGTGCCGGGAGTAGGCAGCCTGGACAACCTTCACCTGGGTGGGCAGGCCCTCCCAGAAGCGGTGCAGCCGCGCAGGCCTCGGGGACACCAGCTGTCCTGTGGGCTGGAGACGCCAGAACCAGGGTCCTGTGGAGAACAGAAGTGGCTGGCATGGAGGCATGAGATGGTCAGTCTTCTCCCCCACCCCAGTGTGGCTTGGGGGGGGTGGGCTCTGGGGCTTCCCCTCCCACAGTAGGTGAGGGGAAGCGTTCTAGAAATTAAGGGTATAGTGGATCTAGGGTGACAAACTCAGTGTGGCTTGTCCAGAGTTGTCCCTTTTTTAGCACTAACATTCCCACTTCCCAAGAACGACTGCAGCCCCAGTGGGTTGCCCTAGTAAGTAGGAAGCCAACTGTGTGGGGTCAGGGGCCATGTGGAGTGGCTCACCTTTGAAGAAGAAGGTTTCCCCGCGGATGTTAGCAATGGCATCAAAATTGCCCTCACATCGATCAGGGACTGGGTCTGAGGGACTGGGGAGGAAGGACAGGTGAGCAAAGGGATGGGGGCTCCTTATGTCTTTGCTTACCCTTGACAGTCCTATGAGGCAGGGACTCCTACCATCCTATCCCCAGAGGACTCTAGGGATACGCAGGTGGCCACCCAAGCTCACCTTTCTGGGGCCTGGGGAGGAGGTGCCAGGGGTTTCCTCGTGGGCTTGTCATTCGGGGTTTGAGATGCCTTCCCTGTGGGGAAAAAGGCAGGTGGGTGTGGGGAACCTGGCTGTTGTAGATGCCCCAGGGCAGGCCACGAGGCTGATTTGGTAGGCCCACCACTCCCCATACCATAGAGCTGCTGCAGGCCATCTCGGTCATCCTGGGACAGGCGGTACTTGTCAGGGTCACCCACTGGGCCCTGGTAGAAGGGCCTCATAATGGAGTTGGGTGCAGAGGAATGGCCTAGGCCCAGGGCATGGCCAAACTCATGGACAGCCACAGCAAACAGGTCGGTACCCTCACCATCTGAACGGGGGTGGGGGGGGAGAGTGGGCTGAAACCAAGGCTACCCCCACACCTGGGAAGGAGCAGCCTAGGAAGTTGCTTGAAGCGGGGCCTGCTGGCCAGCAGGAATAGCCAGGAGACCCTCTGGAGGTGGCCCCAGCCTTCTCTGCCCAGACCCCTCTGTGAACCATTTCATCATCCCTGTATCCATTCACCCACTCAGCGGGGCAGGGCTGGCCTTAGGGCTTAAGAGACCCAGTGAGCACACAGAGGAAGGCAGGACCTTACGCAGATGGAGCCCTTTCCCAGTATGGGTTGCCTTGGTGCATAAATGGAGGAGTTCTCACGAGGAAGCCCCAGCCCCTGTCCCAGTCTGTGGTCAGGTCCCCTCCTTTACCTCCTTTAGTGCCTCTTTCTGAGGGATCAGTCTTCTTGGTCCTGGCTCCCAAGACCTCCCCCATCCCCATTCCTATGGCCCATCCCCTCTTTCCCTTCCTCCTCCACCCCTCCCCTATCTCTCCTACCAGGATCCCTGCCCTTCTCTACTGCAGCCTTCCTCCTCTCCCTGGGATCATGGCGCTCCCTCCTGTAAGACATTCTCAGACCACAAGCAGCTGGCCAGTGCCAGCCTCTTCCCTCCACAGTGGTCTCTTCCCTTGGGATCCAGCCCTAGCACCAGGACTGAGCCTCTTCACACTCCAGCCTTGGCCAAACCCCAGTTCCTCATCAATCCATGAGCAGCCTTTGAAAGGCAGGAAAAGACTAAAACACAGTCTGGCAACCCCATGGGGAGGCACAGATTTCCCCCTAGATGTCAATCTGCCTCATGGAAATTTTTTTTTTTCTGAGACAGACTCTCAAGCTGTCACCCAACTCAAACTCTTGGGCTTAAGCGATTCTCTTGTCTCAGCCTCCAGAGTAGCTGGGACTACAGGTGCCCACAACACCTGGCTATTTTTTTTGTTGTTGCAGTTGTCATTGTTCTAGCTGGCACAGGCCAGGTTTGAACCTGCCACCTTGAATGTATGTGGCTGGTGGTGCCCTGCCGACTGAGCTATGGGCGCTGCCTCATGGAAATCTCTAGCTAGAGTTAGTAATGGCGGGAGTAGGCTTATAGGAACTGACCTGGCGAAGTGAAAAGCACATTTTACTGAGCCCCTAAAGGCCACTAGATGAAAGCCTAAGAATGAACTTTCAGGCAAGTCCTAAAAAGAGTAGCAAGCAGTTGGCTTCATTTACTTCTCACCAAAACTCTATTTCCTATACCCATTTTGCAGAGAAGGAAACTGAGGCACAGAGAGGTCAAAGTAGTCAGCCAATAAAGTACCCTGGTTATGTCATCCTGCCTTTTTCAGAAATGACTCATATGGTTTTGGTTAAACTGCATATATACTGACAAATTTCCATGTCAACTGTAGGTTTTTTTGTTGCTGAGTCCTCTTTTTCTGAGAAAATGGAGGAAGTTTGTTGTTTAAATCAGGGCAATCTCTTTCATCTCTCACCTCCCTTCCCTGCCTTGCTTCTCCTTGGTTGCACTGGGCTTCCGGGCCATGCACCCCTTCCTGCACCCTTCTCACGCCAAGCAGCTGGAGGAAATTACACAACCACAATCATCATGCAGGCTTAGCCCCAGGAGATTCCCGGAAGGCAGTCTGCAGAGTCCCTGGCTTGTCCTCCTACACGTGCCCTGGCTTGGCAGGTGGCCCTTGTGCTCTCCCCTTAGGGTCCATTCCAGGCTGCAGCCCCTCAAGCTTCCATCCAGCCCCAGCCTCTAGCTCTCAAGTCACAAATGGTGAGAAATTTGTTTCCTATTTCATCAGAGCAGGACATTGATGTAATGTGTAACTTCCGGGGAGACAGCTTTATCTCCCCTGTGCTCATCTCCTGTCTCCCACCCCACCACCAATTGGGTGAGGACCTAGCCTCAATTACCTCCTCCAGGACAAGGACACTGTCCCACCCATCCATCCAAGCATTCCTGCATGGGTCTGTATACCCACCAATCAATCCATCCATGCCCCACTCCTTTCTTGCTATTGGCTTACACACGTTCAGACTCCTCCCACAGCATATTGCTTTGGAGTATTCCTGCCCAGCCAGGTTGTTATGTCGTTAGGTCAGTGGTCTAAACTCAGTCTCTACTTCCTCCACTCCTCTCACATCTAACCTCACTGCAGTCTGAATTTATCCCCTACCCAATGAGCCTGCAAGTACTAAGAAATCACATTGTCCTTGGATGAGCAAACACAGGCCATGTAGCTCCCTGGCCTTGTTTGCTGCCCTGGTCACTGCTGAATACCTTTCTTCTCTCTTATTCTTATCACCTTTCTTTGTTCTTTCTCCACCTCCACTGATTCCTTCTTCTCTCCTGCTGCCTACCCCTTAGCCATGGCTCCCTTGTCCTCCCATCTCCATGGCTCTGAACCTGATCTTCTATACTTTCCTCCCAGGAACCTTCCCAACTCCCATGGCATGCTGACTCTCAAATTTGACATATGGCTCAGCTCTGACAGCAGCTGGCAACACACAGAACACAGCTCTAAGCCAGGCTCCATGCTGAGAGCTGTAGGTGCATCACTCATTTAATCCACAAACCCATACTACCAGCAGGTACTATTTCTCCCCACTTCTCAGAAGAGGAAAACTGAGTACAATGAGGTTAAGTAACTTGTACATTACAAGTGGAGGCACCTTGAGTTGAGTTCAGCTTCAAAGCCCAAGTTCTTAATGCTGCAGCACTCGGCCTCTCCATCCTGTGCTTTCCCAACCCCTCAAGAGTCTGGGCACCCTCCCCAGCTGCCCCCTCCTCCCCTTCACTCAGAACCCCCCAGCAGACACAACTAAGGCAGTCACTATGGGGCTACAAAGAGCTAGGCCTGCCCCAGGTGGGACCAACAGAGGTGCAATTCCTCCTACAGAGCTCCTGTGGGATCAGGCTCCTTTCCCACTGAGACCACATCCTTGCTCAGCTTCTAGTCTCTTCCTGCTTCCCTTTCCCCTGAGCATATACCCCAAGAAATCACTTGCACAAGAATTTCCGTCTGGAACTCCACATCTGGGGAACCTGACTTAGGACTGCAGAGTTCAAGTTCCAGAGCAGCAGCCTCAACTGCCTACACCCCACCTTCATGCCAAAACCATCCAAACCTTTAGTCACCTCTGCCTGCTGCCAGCCTACTCCTTCTGCACGCTTCCCACCTGCATCCTCCGGGGCCTGAGCTTGACCTTGGATGTCATCCTGCCTCTTTATCTCCCTTGTCCCCAGGATCCAGCCACATCCAAATCATTGCCCTTCCTAACTGACCTTCCCTCCTATCTGTCCACTGCCCCTTCCCCAGGATCAACCACCACCATCTCCTACCTGCACCCTGCAAGAACCTCTCATCTCCCCACCTCTACTCTGTGCCCTCCCACTACAGCCAGCCATATTTCCAGAATGTAAAACCCTTCTATGACTCCCTACTGCCTTCAGAATCCTATGGTCCCAAGTAGACACTTTGTGATAATGGGACATTCTGAAATCTCCCTACTGACATCAGGCAAGCTGGTCTCCCTCTGTCACCCAGGCTAGAGTGCACGGGTGCCATCACAGCTTACTGCCACCTCAGACTCCCAGGCTCACGCGATCCTCCTACCTCATTCTCCTAAGTAGCTGGGAAGATAGGCACATACCACCAAACCTGACTTCTTTTTCTTTTTCTTTTTTATTTTTGGAGACAGTCTCACTTTGTCGCCCTTGGTAGAGTGCTGTGGCATCATAGCTCACAGCCACCTCCAACTCTTGGACTTAAGCAATTCTCTTGCCTTAGCCTGCCAAGTAGCTGGGACTACAAGCACCTGTCACAATGTGCAGCTATTTTTTTTTTTTTTTAAAGAGATGAGAGATTTCACTCTGGCTCAGGTTGGTCTCGAACCTGTGAGCTCCACCTGCCTCAGCCTCCCAAGTACTGGGATTACAGGTGTGAGCCACCTTGCCCGGCCTTTTTGTTTGTTTGCTTGTTTGCTTGTTTGAGACAGAGTCTCACTCCGTAGCCCTAGGCAGAGTGACATGGCATCATAGTTCAGTGCAACCTGAAACTCCTGGGTTCAAACAATCCTCTTGCCTCAGCCTCCCAAGTACTGGGATTACAGGTGTGAGCCACCTTGCCCGGCCTTTTTTGTTTGTTTGCTTGTTTGTTTGTTTGAGACAGAGTCTCACTCCGTAGCCCTAGGCAGAGTGACATGGCATTATAGTTCAGTGCAACCTGAAACTCCTCGGTTCAAACAATCCTCTTGCCTCAGCCTACCAAGTAGCTCATACTGCAGGTGCTGCCACACTGCCTGGTTAATTTTTTAATTTTTTTGTACAGACGAAGTCTCACTCTTAATCAGGCTGGTCTTGAACTCCTGGCTTCAAGCAATCCTCTGACCTTGGCCTCCCAAAGAAATGGAATTACAGGCATGAGCCACTGTACATGGACTGATGCTTTATTTTTGCCTTTCAACCTTGGATGTCCCTGGCTATTTCTCCCCTATTGGGTCTTCTTACCCTTGACTATCTCAGGCTCAGGCAGCTCACTGGTTATACTCTTACCATAGATCCTGCTCCCCATGTGCCCCAGGAAAGCAGGACCTTGTCTGTCTGGACTTGTGCAGCCAGTATGTGTGTGTATAGACACATAGACATATTGAGTGAACAGATTACCCTTCCAGGAAGCATCCCCTAGCCCAAGAGCTTTGGTCAACTTCTCACCTGAGCACCCATAGGCTAGAGGACTTCCTCTATTGAGATTCTGTGTAGTTGTGTCACACTACGTGTGTGGTAATTGCCGATCTCTCTTCTGACTCAGCTGCTGAACAGTCTTCTTTTTTTCTCTGTAACTCTTCAGCCCCAGCTCAGAACTGGGAATCTGATAGGCCTCTGTGATAGCTAATTTTATGTGTCAATTTGGCCTGGCTATGGTCCCCAGTTGTTTGGTCAGACACCAGTCTAGGTTTGCTGTGAAGGTATTGTGTATGTGATCAACATTTAGGATCAGTTGACCTAAGTAAAGCAGATCACCCTCCATGATGTAGGGGCCCGCATGTAGTCAGTTCAAGGCTGTAAGAGCAAAAACTGAGGTTTCCCAGAAAGGAAAGAATTTGGTTTCAAGATTGTAACAAATCAGTGTGAGGCCGGATGAGGTGACTCATGCAGATAATCCTAGCACTCTGGGAGGCCAAGGCAGGTGGGTTTTGCTTGAGCTCATGAGTTTGAGACCAGCCTGAGCAAGAGCGAGACACTGTCTCTAACAAATAGCTGGGTGTTATGGTGGGCACTCAGTAGGTGGGCACTCAGCTACTCAGGAGGATCGTTTGAGCCCAAGAGTTTGAGTTTGCTGTTAGCTATGATGCCATTGCACTCAAGCCTGGGGGACAAAGTGAGACTCTCAAAAAAAAGAAAGAACGAAGTCATTGTGGTGGGTCCCTACAGTCCAGCTACTGGGGAGGCTGAGGCAAGAGGATTACTGGAACCCAGAAGTCTGAGGTTGCTGTAAGCTGTGACACCACAGCATTCTACCCAGAGAAACAGAGTGAGACGCTGTCTTAAAAAAAGGACTGGGCTCGGCGCCTATAGCTCAACCGGCTAAGGCGCCAGCCACGTAAACCTAAGCTGTCGGGTTCGAATCCCCAGCCCGGACCCGCCAAACAAC